TCACGTTGGGCGCCAAATCTGTTATAGGACGGGGAGAGGGGCAGCCCAAAACCCCGCAAACCTGCCTATTCTAAATGGGTTCTACCATCCGCTGCATCAACCCAAAACATAGGAGACTTTAATGAAAAGGAACTTTAATAAAACTAGGAAACAATACAGGTAAGGCAAAGAATCTAGTTTCTAAATGAAACACACAAAGTTACCCGTCCCCTCGTGGGTAAAAGTCCATCCAAATGGGATTGGCCCAGAGCAAGGCCCCAAAGCCTGCCACAAGTCTAAAGCATCTTCCAGTGGGGACCCACAGAAAAGGGTCACAAACAACCGGACAAGCCCGGAAGGAAAATAGCGAAATCAACATCAAGATAAAAGCTGCCATTGTCACCTCCCCACGGGTCTCACCCACATCTGTGTCACCTAGTCCACGACCAAAAGACAAGCGCAGTTTCTTTACGTGTCTCTAGGCTCCACACGCCTCCTCCAGGTCTCCTGGCTCCATCCTGCTTCCTTCCTTAGTCTCTTCTTCAGCTTCTCCCCTTCCTGCTCAGCTCCACCCTCCCTTGGGTGGGTCAGGGAACCTCCCCCTTTCCTGGGGACCACCCTGTTACAGTATTATTGTCTCTTGATCTGATATACAAATGTATTAACTTTGTGAAAATGCATTGAACTATATTAATAATGTCTGCCTTTCAAAAACAATTTTTTAGAAAGAATAAACAAGAGGGCTTCCCTGGTGGTGCAAGGGGTTAAGACACAACCTATGAAGCTATCCACAGCCACCGCAGCACAAATTCGATCCCCGGCCAGGGAGATACCCACATTGCACAATAGACCTCTCCTGACTTGCCCACTGCTCCCCCCAGAAGTGTATTTCAGTAGATGTGCCTGTTCTGTTCCCTGCTCTGTTTCTGGTGAATCCTCTCACACCCCTATCCCCCACACCCCCATCTCTACCACCCAGGTACCTCTGGCCTATGCCCCAGTTCTTGTATGCATAAATAAATAAATCTTTAAAAAAAATAAACAAGAAAGAGGAGGAGAAGGAAAGTAGGGGAAGTATGAGTGAGTTCAGATTCAGTACTGTCTAAAGCTGATAAATCTGGAGAGCACCAAAAAGTCTATTACTTACAGAAACTAAAACAAATATTGTCTTTATATATTACATTAATATTCTGTCCATGATTATAACTTTTGATAGCCCTGAGTAAAGTAAAGGTTCATACTCAAACTTCTTTGTAGTTTGAGTAATTAGATCAGTGCACTCACTATATGTTTCCATTAAAATTCACGCTAGTCTTGGACCAGTTCCACATGATGTTTTTTTTTCCCCCTGGGCTATGAAAAGGTTAAATACCTATCATGGTTAAATATGTAAACAGGTGAGTTTTTGGTGTATATTAAAAATAAAGCTCCATTTAGAATTTCCCCTAGCTTATTGTCACTTGCAGTGTGTATTTAAATTAACAGGAACACATCAAGGAGGGAACAGCTGGAGAGACAAAAACAGCAACAGTCTGTAATTGCTAGAATGTTACTACAAAGGGAAGTTACCCATCCTAATGTAATAATTCACAACAATAGAAAGCATATTAAGTAGCAGAATACAAAATAGCTTCCTAATCTTACCACTGATAATACTGTTTAACTGTTATAATTGATTCTTCTACCAAAAATTGTACTGGATGCAAAGTCATTAACTAGAAAATATGAAAAATCATATTTCTACAAAAAATCTTATAATTCAAATTCAAATTTTATTATCTCCTTAAATTATTACCATTCTGGTTTTAGGTTCTTTTTACAAGGAGATCCAGTTTTAATATTCTATAGACAACTCTCCCTAATTAATGAATTCAAAGGAACTCTAATCAAAATGCCAAAAACTTGTCTAGAAAAAGACTAATGACTTCAGAGTACACCTGGAAATATAATCAGATGTGAATAGCTGTGAAAATTCTAAAAATGAAAAATAATGAATAATGTGCCTGAATATTAAGATCTATAATGATAGACTGAAACAGTCTAGCACCACTGCCAGAAGACAAACCAATGAGTAAAAGATGATCTAATAATAAACACAAGAATGTGATGGAGGGCCCTCCCCTGGTGGCGCAGGCGGTTGAGCGCAGCTCTATGAAGTTGTCCACAGCCTCTGCAGTGCCGGTTCGATCCCCACCAGCCTCAGAGATACCCACACGGCAGGGCAGACCTCTCCTGTCTCACCCATTGCTCCCTTCAGCAGTATATTTCGGTCGGTCTGCCTGTTCTGTTACCCACTGTATCTCGAGTGAATCCTCTCACTCTCCCACCATTTGGCCTGTACTCCAGTTCTTGTATGCATGAATAAATAAATCTTTTAAAAAAATGTGATGGAGGGCCTCCCTGGTGGCCCAAGGGGTTAAGCAAAGCACTGTGAAGCTATCTGCAGCCTCTGCAGCACAAGTTTGATCCCAAGCCAGTCTCCACCCCTGGTGGCCTAGGGGTGAAGTCTCAGTGCTATCACTGCTACAGCATGAGTTCAATCAAGCTAGGGAGCTAAACCATATATGGCACAGCAGACCTCGCCTGTTTTGTGTGCTGCTCCCCTTCACAGTGTATGTCAGTAGATCTGCCTATTCAGTTCCCCACTCTGTCTCTGGTGAATCCTCTCACCCCCCACACTGTGGTCTACACCCCTGTTCTTCTACGCAGAAATAAAATTAAAATTAGGAAAAAAGAAATTAAGAATCATCAAAACACCAAAAAGTCAAAAATCTGAAATGAGTTGTAAATTAAGAGGACTAAGCAGCTAGATGAAAGGGTGAATCCAGTTGTATGGAAATTGTAGTGAACCAGAAAATATCAGTGCTTTCCCAACATTTTTAAGCATCAAGTTTCTCTGGGGAAAGCTGACCAAGCAAATGTGTCCAAAGGAGAAAATCAGGAGTTCTGACTGACCTGTAGGCTGAGGGGACTCAACATCTTGGCATACCTGAAAAGGATTGATGGCACACCACTTGAAGTTTTGAATTAGAAAATTCATGCCTTGTATTTATACAAGTATTATTTAATGTTTTCTGAGGGAAAAGTAACATATGGTAGAAAAGTTAAACAGTATACTCTTTTTTTTATTTTATACATGTTTTACATCATTTTTCATTTTTGCACAATGTATGCATTTTCATCTTGGTTATAGTCCCCATACAATTCCCATCCCCCTTATTTGGATCCTACTCCCTCCTCCCCCCACCCCCATAGTGTGTCTCTGAAATATTAATTCAAAAGGGCACCTGCACCTCTATGTTTATAGCAGCACTATTCACAATAGCTAAGCTATGGAAACAACCCAAATGCCCAAAAATAGATGACTGCATCAAGAAGATGTGGTACATATACACAACAGAATATTATTCAGCAATCAAAAAAGATAAACTCATGCAATTTGCAGCAACATGGATGGGACTGGAAGGGATCATGCTCAGCGAAATAAGCCAGAAAGAAAAAGAAAAATACCAGACGGTCTCACTCATAGCAGGCATTTAGAAAACCTAAATAAGGGACCAGGAAAAAGACTAATTATAATAAAGTAAAAATCAAAATCAACAAGCAACAGATATATATATTTTTAAGAACACCGTAAGGGGCCAAACAAAACCCATCTGTTCACCAGATCTGTCCCACAGGCCACCAGCTTACAAGTTTGGATTTAAATGCAAAAAATGAAACCATGCAAGTGCCAGCAAAGAACACATGACATTATTTTCACAATCTTGGAGTAGAAAAGACCTTTCTAAGCATTTTCAAAACCAGAACCCATAAAAGACAAGACATTTAACTACATAAAAATTCAAAACTGATGTGTAACTGAACATTATGAACAAGCCTAAAGACAGATGACAGCAGTTTCCCACCCAGGCTCTAACAGAATGTGGTTTGTTGCAGCCTGGGACACTGCCTTCTCTGTGGGGGAGGTGTATCACGTTTAACAAAAAGACCACCTGAAATAAAGGGAAACCTTCCTAAATGAACCAGAAAAGAAGTAGAAAGTGAGCAAACATCCAAAACGGTCCAGAACTATAGGTACCATTTATTCCATTACTCAAATAATATTAGTTGAGTGAGTTTGAGTCTATACGTCTTATACTTTAATGTTTTTGAATATCTAATACTATAAATAAAAACTGATCATGATATTAAGAATTTCTTCTGGATATCCACTGAGTATTCATAACTGCATCAGAATATTAATACGCCCTCAACTCAGCCAACAGTGTTCATACAGTCATATTCAAGGAAGTAAATTAACTCTAAGTGCAAAATTAGAGGGTGATATGTGAGAACCATAAAATATAACTATGACAGAATTTCCTTCTTCAAGGCTCTCATTGTAATATGGATTTCACGAAGATACTTTTTTGGCACAAGATGAATATGGGCATATTTTTCCAAAGCAGTGCAATATGGACCAGTATCTTGAACACAGAATCAGGTTACTAATCTAACATCTACATATTAAAGAAATGAGTTAATAGATTCAGAGAATAATCATATTTTTTTAAGATTTATTTTTACTTATTTATGCATACAAGGACTGGGGTGTAGGCCAGAAATATAGGGGGTGAGAGACTTCACCAGAGACAGAGTGGGGGAGCAGAACAGGTGGAAAGACTGAAATACACTGCTGAGGGGAGCAGCAGGAGAGACAGGAGAGGTCTGCTGTGCCATGTGGGTAGCTCCCAGGCCAGGGATCGAACTCATGCTGCAGTGGCTGTGATAGCTTGATAGTAGGGCTACTTTAACCCCTGTGCCACCAGGGAGGCCCCAGAGAGTAATCATTTAAAAAAAAAAAAATAGATAGGATAACAGGTTTGAGTTCATGTAAAAAAATAATAAAAATTTTAAACATTTTCCTGTGCCACAGAGGTCACTAAGTTGCCAAAATAAAGAGAAACAAACTTGTTCTTTTAAAAACTGGTTATAAAACTACTTATTTTCTTATCTTGAAATCAGGATTTCATGATTACCTGTTGCTACTGCTGTTAACTCTTTCAGTAAATGCCATTGCTGCCAGTCAGTGGAAAGCGGTGAGTCTATTCATCTAAAAGAGAAACAGCAGACAGTAAACATTAGCCCATAAGTAAACTCGTAGGTGAAAGGTCCATGCAGCAGGCCAGAAGTGCAAAAGCCTACCCGGAAGCCCACCTGAGGGGCAGGAATGTGGATACCTGCCTGGAGGACTCAGGCAGTGAGCCTCCCCCCTCCCCCTACGAGTCTCATCTCAGACAAAGAACCTCTACCTGCCCTCCAAACTTTTCCCGCCGTATGAGCCCAACTACCCACCTGACCTCTCCTCACCCTATAAAACCCTGCTTCCCCCTGACAACGTGCGCGACTCCACTGACCCCCGCCTTGGGTCTGTGAGGTCCGCCCGGGAGCAATAAACTTTCCCTCCCTTTGAGAAATGTAGCCTGGCTCTCCTTTTCTTTACCGCGCCGAACCTTTCAGTAGGTACACCTGGCCTGTAAGAAATCTTACTGGAGTGAGAATTCAAAGCTCATTTGAATTGTTACTCATTTGAATTGTTATAGGACAGGGAGAGGGGCAGCCCAAACCCCGCAAACCTGCCTATTCTACATGGGTTCTGCCATCCGCCGCATCAACACAAAACATAGGAGACTTTAATGGGAAGGAACTTTAATAAAACTAGGAAACAATACAGGTAAGGCAAAGAGTCTAGTTTCTAAATGAAGCACCCAAAGTTACCCATCCCCTTGTGGGTAAAAGTCCATCCATATGGGATCGGCCCAGAGCAAGGCCCCAAAGCCTGCCACAAGTCTAAAGCATCTTCCAGTGAGGACCCACAGCAAAGGGTCAGAAACAACCAGACAAGCCCGGAAGGAAAAGAGCAAAATCAACATCAAGATAAAAGCTGCCACTGTCACCTCCCCACGGGTCTCACCCACATCTGTGTCACCCAGTCCACGACCAAAGGGCAAGCACAGTTTCTTCACATGTCTCTAGGCTCCATGAGCCTCCTCCAGGTCTCCTGGCTCCATCCTGCTTCCTTCCTCAGTCTCCTCTGCAGCTTCTCCTCTTCCTGCTCAGCTCCACCCTCCCTTGGGTGGGGCAGGGAACCTCCCCCTTTCCTGGGGACCACCCTGTTACAGAATTAGCAAATGGTTCTTCACCAACTCTGAAGTTGTGTGGGCAAACTAACTAGCAGATATCATTTTTAATTTTGAGGCTGGTACTCAAAGCCATTTCAGCAAGAAAAAAGGTGGGCACAAGTTTTTGATCATGAGGAAGAAAGGAAATAACAATTCCCTCATGTCTACTTTGTGCCAAGCATTGTGTTAAGCCTCTTCTCTTCCTTCTCTTCTTCTCTTCTCTTCTCTTCTCTTCTCTTCTTTTCTTTTCTTTTCTTCACTCATCCATGCATACAAGAGCTGGGGAACAGGCCAGAAGACACGGTGGGGGTGGGGGTGGTGAGAGGATTCACCAAAGACAGAGTGGGTAACAGAACAGGCGGACTGACCGAAACACACTTCTGAGGGGAGCAGTGGGAGAGACAGGAGAGACCCGCTTGCCATGTGGATTGCTCCCTGGCCAGCCAGGGACCGAACTCTCACTGCAGAGGCTGCGTGCGGCCCACCTCACAGTGAGGTGCTCAAACCCCCCCACCCCCATGCCACCAGGGAGGCCCCTAAGCCTTTTCAAAACATTTCATTGAGAATATGAAAATAAACTTACAAGCTAGATACTAACACCCAATAAACCAATATCCCACTTTATAAATAAGAAAACTGAAACTCAGTTTTAAGTAATTTGCCTGAGGTATAACAGGTTGTGTCAGCATCCTCACTAAAATGAAAAGAAAGAAAGGCTAGAATATGCCCAAGGAAGGAAATCAACATTTGATCTTCACGAGGAATTCATCACTTAATAAAGCAGGCCCCAGAAAGTGTCAGGCATAAGAGTTTACTTCAGCACATAAAAGGTACTTAAATCGACAAAGCAATTTTTGAGCATCCTCTCAAAAACAGTATTGGATTAAAAAAAATGTTATCCAACCTGGGCAGATGGCTGTTACTATCTCGCGCATCTCTAGAGACAGACTCTATGGTTAACACTCTCAACAGCTGTTTCCTCTTCCCTTTCTCATGTATTTGTAAATTTACTGCACTTAACTTGCTTTAAATAGTTTCTATTTTGTCAAACATCCTTAAGACAAAGGATATGTTACTAAATTATCTTCGTGCAGATTTAACAAACTTTTTTTGATACAAATGGAAACAAACACTACATTAAATAAGCAACAATTTTAGCTTATCTGCTTAGTTTAAGAGGCTAAATGTCACACTTTGGCTTAGGCTGAAACACTGAATGTAGTCAGCTCTACTCTACCTCTAGATAAGGTCTTTTATCTTCCTCACTGACATAAAAATTGCTAACTCGCTGACTACAATGTTTCCACACTAGTAGATAACATTTGTCACTATCTTCTTCCCCAAAAGAATGCAACATAGTTGCTGCAAAGATTCTAGTTAATCTCACACCAGTAGGGCTCTTAAATTTTTCAGGGTGAAACATGCTTTGGCGTGGGAACACTCCTCCAGCCAGCTATATGGCCACAGGCAAGTTTCCTAAATTCTCCAACTCAAAATCCCAAACATCTCCCTCAGGATTCTCCCTCCCTCCACCACTACTTATTCTCTCTCAGTTCCCCCACTCTCAAACACATTTCTGGTTTTTTCTTCCCCCTCCCTTTTTTTCTGCCACCTTTTTCTCTCTTTCATGTCTCCCTTTCTTCCTACCCTCCCCCACCCTACCGCTGCTCTCACATTTCCTCTCTCTTGATGTTCAGGACTGGCACACACATTAAACCAATAAAACAGTATGTATTCACTTTGGCATTTACCTTCTTAATACTGTAAAGGTGTCTGAAGAGTAGGTGAAGGACGTTCTCCAAACGACCCCCTATGAAAAATGCCCCAATTGTTTGCAACCCACCAGCACCTCCTTCTCCCAGGGTTGGTTGGTGGGGAGGATAGAGAAGGAGGAGATAGGTCGGGTTTTTTGAGGGATACCGACCTGAGAGAGTGTCCTGAGGTCCCTTGTCTGATCATTTACTCACTGGGCCAAACATTTCCTGAGCAACTACTCTAAGCCAGGTTCTATGATTAACACGGAAGAAAACAGACTCTTGCCATCACTGACCTTACAAACTATAGGAGGTAAACAAAGAGCATAATTTATAGATGGTAGAAATGGGAAAGAACTAAAGAGAAACAAAACCAAACCAAAGTACAGAGTGCTGGAGAGGAAAGGAGGTGGGTGAGGTGTCGCGATTTTCAGAGGTGGTCAGAGAATATAACATTTGTGCAAAGTCACGCAGATCTATAGTGGAAAATGGCCATACAACTCTGGGGGACCATGCTGCATCTAGCAGGTTCATCAACTATTGCAAATATAACAATTTGGTGGGAGGCTATGATGGTGGAGCTACCATGTGTAGGGGCAGGGGAATTTAAAGCTACCCTGCACATTTGGCTTGATTTTCCTGTGAAACTAAAACCTACTCTAAAAAAATAAAGAATTTTTTTAAAGATTTGTTTTTATTTATTTAAGCATGTAAGAATTAGGGTGTAGGCCAGAGGTGTGGTGAGTGAGAGGATTCACCAGAGACAGAGTGGGGAGCAGAACAGGCAGATCTACTGAAATACACTGCTGAGGGGAGCAGCGGGTGAGACAGAAGAGATCTGCTGTGCTAAGTAGGTTAGCTCCCTGGCTGGGGATGAAACTCAGGCCACAGTGGCTGGCAATAACTTGATAGCACTGAGACTTTAACCCCTGTACCACATAGGAAGCCCCTAAAGTCTTCTTTTTTTTTTTTTATGGTCCAAGAGTCACACAAGTTCAAGAGTGAAGGAGCCAATGGAACCCTTATGTCTGCCACTAGCTTCTAGGGTGGGTGGGTGAGAATAATAGTCTCTGAAGGACAGTCCCTATACTGGCGTGTGGGTAGTCAGGGACTTGTCTGTGCAACTCAAATATTTAGCTTTGCCTGAAGGCATGATCCTTTTACTTTTACTCCATTGAGGCAGGGACTTGGGAACTGTTTCACTTGATTACTGTTATCTCAGTAATATCTCACAGGAATGACCAAATTCACTCTATGAAAGGCTGTTTAGGTGCTGGTGGGTACATGTACAGAATTGAATGGAATAACTGCTCAGCCAAGATGTTAGGTTAGACATGCTGTAGTCAGGAAATTATACTAAGTCACGGCTAAGAAAGGAAATTATACTTCAGTTAATTTCTCCTTCAAAGGATCTTTTTTAGATGTGCACAAGGAGGTACATGCAATAAAATATTCTTTATAATAGTAAGGAAACCAGTAATAATCTAATATATAAATCCACAGAAATGGCTAAATCAATTATAGTATGTCATAATGAACATCAAAAAAAGGATAGGTCTATCCAAACAAAAAGAGAACAAAATGTAAAGTGAGCTAACCTGTTTAAAAAGAAAATATATTTATGCTTATGCATAACATACACATACATACAAAACTATTAATAGCTTTTCTGGAAAAGGGACACTTTCCCCTTTTACTCTGTATGCTATGAATCCTTTATTATGTGTGTAAGAATTTTTTCCTTTAAATACAGGGTAAGGCCTCCCTGGTGGCGCAAGGGGTGAAAGCACCCGACTATGAAGCAATCTGCAGCTTGTGCAGCACGAGTTTAATCCCCCACCCCCAACCCCGCCAAGGAGCAACCTACATGGCACAGCAGACCTCTCCTGAATCACCCGCTGCTCCCCTCAGCAGTGTACAACAATCTGCCTGTTCTGCTCCCGCCTCTATCTCTGTCTCTGTCTCCCGCCTCTAACCCCCCCGCATCTCTGGCCTGTACCTCAGCACTTGTATGCATAAATAAATAAATCTTTTAAAAAAACCAATAAATATTGGGTAGAGGGAGGAATGTACTAGCCTAAAAATATTGAAATCAGGAATTCTTCCTTAAGTTTTCATATATGTATATATTATTTCCATTAGATTATAAAGACAGAATAATACATGGACAAAATAGA